GTTGAAATTAAGTTTAAAGCAAAGAGATCATTTTACTTGCAATACGAAATAAATGTATACATGCGTTTTACGGCAGCCCGCAAAGTAAAACATATTTATTGAATTTTGAACCAAGATTTAAAAAAATCAACAGTAAGATGTAATACGCAGCACATCAAGAGGTGCACGCTTACTAAAATTAGAATTTTTAATAGTATGATTTTTTGTTTCGACTTCTATCTGAGTTCAGAAACTCTTTCACAAATTAAGATACAATACAAATTTATTCGCAAGAGTAACTAGAGATTAATGAGTACATAAAAATTTATAAAAAACCCTAAAATCTAAAATTTATTTATTTAAAACCTTAAACTAGTCTTGCCAAAAAGCATCATTTTACTCAATAAGGTAAACAAACATACACCGAAATGTTTTTGTCATCAAAAGTTGTATGGCTGAGTGATATATCTTTGATCTCTAAATGCTTTGTATAGATGTACAACTGTGTTCGTTCATAGGTAAAAGCGCTGTTGAACAATTAATTTGACACTTTAACACTAACCATAACAAAGGGACCTAATATTGAATATCTGTTGTTGATTCACTGTAGGATGACAATACAATAACAGTAATATGTGTTGTATTGTGTTGGTGGTAACATCAACGTCATTAGGTGATCGATCAATAATTGTCTCTAATGTAACGATAACAATTGTGGGAAATATAAGTAGTTTTAATTATTGCATCACCAATTTTTGTAGAAAGTAAAAACGTCTGTTAAAGAAGTAACATGTTCAACAGTAGTATATTTGAATAAATAGTAAAGATAAGTAGAATCACTGACTATTGGATACTCAAGCCTATTATATCAACAGTTAAAGGTATAATATAGTAAAAACAAATGCAATAGTGGTGAAACGATTTCGTTTTAGCGGATTTCCCATATAGGGAATAAGCTATTACCGTAGTACTCATGGTAAGACCTGGACGCGGGACCGATTTTTTTTTTTTTTTAGGTCCCTAGAGGCCAAAAACACCATCCGTTCAAATTCATATATATTTGTAAAATTTTGAAAGAATGAGGTTATGGTAAAAATGACTTGACAATGGACTTACTTAGTTCCGAAACATGTCGTCATGAAAAATAAAATAATTACTAAAAGGGTACTTTGTTATATATGTTTAGATTTTATTATATAGCCCTAAAAATGCAAGAAAATAATTTATATATATATATATATTTATATATATATATATATGTGTGTGTGTGTGTGTGTGTGTGTGTGTGTGTGTCCGTCAGCACGATAACTCGAGCAAAAATGATGCGATTTTGATGAAATTTGGTACAAACGTGTAAACGTACGTTTATTCGAACAAGTTCACGATCCAGCATGATCGGACCATGGGAACGGGGGTTTACGGGGGGTTTTATGGGGTAAAAATAGGTTTTCCCATTTTTGACCCAAAAAACATAAAGTTTAGCAATTTCTTTCCAAACCATTTTGTAGAGCTTAAAAAAACAAATAATTTAGTATATTGAAGCGTTATTATGCGCCTAATGGTTACGGAGAAAATTCCAAAAATTGTAAATTTAAAATTCCCATGTTATTCTTACGGAGAATAAGTAAACTGTTGTAGTTTGCTTGTTTGTGAACATATTTTGATCAAATTTGGAAAATGTTTTTATTTCTTTCTAACTATTCACATTTTACAAAAAAAAACAGTTTTACCCTCCCTGATGCAAAACTAAGTACTTGTTAAACTAATTCTATTTAAATCAAGAATAAATGTTATATTTTTAAGTAGACATTTCAGTGTAAATCCAATCAGTCAAATGGAAATTCGCTTAGTCTGCAGGTTTGCTGCGGCGGGGCTATTATTAATATTTTTTATATTCAATCCTAATGTTTTCATGTAATAAAGTTTTAGTCAGAACGACCAAAACCAAAGCTGACATCCTGTCGCCCATTAGTACATTACTGATATTCGATACATTTTAAACAAACAATTTATTGTACATATATTATTTCAGTAAGTTTATTAGTCTTGCGTCAAACAGTTTTATCTGCTTCTATCCTAGATAAAGAGAACTCATGTCATTTTGGTTTATTTTTTTAGATGGAAAACTCTTTCTTCGTTATGGAGCTTTGTATTTTTTATATATTTCAATTTTAGAATTAAAATTCATTGTAATCTAACCTTGAATGAATTATGTACTTTGGGTCGTTAAAATTACGAATAGGAACAAATAAAAGTTGTTCGGATTTGTATTGACACGTTGGGTGGTTCCTCAAATATTGGTAAAAAAATTAATTAGGGAAACAAATTCAAAATACAATTAAAACGTAAAACAATACGCAACTATGTGTCCTTAGACGCTAGGTTCAGCTGTGGAAATATTTTTGAAACATTATGAAATGCATGCAAGTTATCAAAATAGTTTTCACAAACCCCTGACTAAATCGTCATCTACATGCAGATCAAAAGGAATAAATTAACAAATATTTAAACAGATATAGGGTTTCTCAACAAAATATAAAATTATACTAAATCAAGTTTGAATGTACGAAAAGTGGTAATTTTTATCTAATGCAAAGCTAACAGATATAGCTGTATAGTATTATAGTATTAAAACGGTATTATAGTATTATATGCAGCAGGCCAAAGACATAAAACTATTCACAAAACCATTAGGTTTCATTGTTTGCAAAAACTGTTAAAGCACATTAGTAAAGAGACAAATCAGTCATAGGTACATAATAAATTGTAGTTAAACCCTGTGACAGTGTAAATATTATATAGTTTAGAACCTTTTTTAGTAAGTTTAGAGTATTCTTACAACATTAAAGACAGAGTTCACTTGCTTCCACTTGAAACGAGTCAAATGACATACCGTTCAAGTGTTTGCTCTAAGCCTTTCATGTTATCAAATATTGTAAAAATTTCCCTGAAATGTTGTATTATTAATTTGACTTTCCATTCGTTTTTTATTTGATCATAATATGTTTCGTTTAAGAAAGCTGTGTTTTCCTTATAGGATGTAATATTATCGCGTAAAATGTGTTGATATTTGGAAACCCAAATGTTTATACCTTTTTATAATAAACCATATTCATGTTTATGAAAATATAGTAAATATTTATAATTATTGTATTAGCTTTTATCATTGTTTTTTATCTACCTTTCATTTTTAGTATAATTTAATCTCAGTCAATTTTAAGTTTATTTTATTATGTTTCATTAACTTGATCTCTTGTTCAGACCTACATATGATATTGCTAAGAAAAGCTAAACGACCCTGCCGCAGAAAATCTGCAGATTAGGCGAATTTCCATTTGTCTGATGGGACTAAAATATTTCCTTAATTTTTCAATTTCATTCTATGTAGGTATATAATTAACATTCAGTAATGAGTACTTAACCCGTTTTTTACGTACAATATGTTACGAGTACGTTTTTACCCTACACCTAAATGTGCAGGGTATTTCCTGGAACAATGATCTGGACATTTTATCTTATTTTTCTATAACAAATAAAAACAAAAACATATTTTAACCCAACATTTTCCTATGGTTTGAGAATATCTGATATGTTACCAAAATCATACCCCAGGTTTGAGCAATAAAAATGCAACTTGAAAAAGTAATTTGCAAGAGTAAGTTGATAGTAAATTAGATGAAATTTACTAAGATTAGATAAGAAAATTTTGTGAAATTTATAAAAATTGTTTGAAATATGTGTGATAAAGTACACATGAATTCACATCACCATCACAGTGAAATTCACAATTCATGTGAAATTTTTGTCATAATTTCACAAATTGTGTAAAATTTGTGTGAAATTTATAAAAGTTGTGTGAAATGTGCGTGATAAAGTACACACGAATTCACATCACAGTCACAGTGAAATTCACTATTCATGTGAAATTTGTGTGATGAAGTACACAAGTTCACAAAAATTCACATCACAGTCACGGTCAGTTGTTGTATTTGATGACATGAATAGTCCAAATATTACACCATTTTTTGTCAAAAGGTCGACATAAAAATATTGACTGTTTTTACTTGTGTAAATCTTGCAGCAAAGTACACAAACATTTATGTTATAATGTAAATTTCCTAATATTATCCAAACAAGACAATTTAAGTTTTAAAACATGTGTATAACAATCATGTTGGTAATGACGTTTCATTTAACCAATTTAACAATCTCTTCCTCTAAAGTTGGGACAAAACTTAATATGGCTTTTCTATAATAGACATGGAAAGGTTAAATAATAACGGCAATTATAGATTTACGTTTGATCAATTTTATAATTACTAAGAGCAAGAGTATTAATGTTATCTTCCAGAATAAACCCCTTGTCATCATCAAAAGATAGTACTTTCTTATTCATAGTTTTTTTAATAGTTTTTTTTTTGGGGGAGCGAGCTGGAGTAGTGGTTAGAGCGCGGGACTTTAGTCCCTGAGGTCCCGGGTTCGATCCCCGCCAAGTCACCAATGGATCCCAGGCTCGTGCCTAGCGTCCTTAGGACAAAAAAATTAATAGTTTTTTGACATTTTTACCCACCTAAAATTGTTTAAGTCCATAATATTGTTTTAAAATGCTTATATTATGAAAACGGTTTGAGATACGGCAAAACGGTTGAAATTCTGGCACACATAGTGGGTGTCAACTTTTGATTATAAATAATATTACAACATAAAAAATCAAAAATTCCAACAAAAATTTTAACATTATTTTATGTGGGTACAAATAACAGTTATCACGAAAAATTTCAAAGTCCAGAGTTTTTGACATTTTGCACACCTTGACATTTTTTAAGTCCATAATATTGTTTTAAAATACTTATTATAGAATTACACTAAATGATATTCAAAATACAAAAGAACCATTTTATTTAATTCTTAAACACATCAATGTAAACAGAATATTTACTAACAAACTTAATAATAATAAATCAGCTGATGAATTAATCACTTACAGATTTAACTATCTAACACTTTTCCCCTCCTTCTTTTTACGCAGATTCTACAGCTCCCATTCTTTGTCTCATCTGGTCGGCATGCTTTCTTTTTATAACACCTCCACAAAGTACATCATATGAATACAGTCCATTTCTATTTTTCACCATTCCAGCTGACCAACCATTTCCATGTTCATTCTTAATCCACACATCTTCTCCTTCTTTAAAAGTTCGAACTTTCTTGTTGGCTCTCCCTTGTTCTTTCCAAAGCTTCATTTCCATCTTTTTCCTAAGATTAGGTTTCATATTGTCAAAAATTTTTGGTAGTCTACGACCTAGAAACAATTCTGCCGGAGCCCTACCGGTTGTTTTCTGAGGCGAGTTTCGGTAGCTAAAAAGAACATTTTGAAGAGCTAGCATTCCATCTCCGACCTCCTGCTTTGTTGTGTAGTACCGTCTTTTCAATGTACGAATTAGTCTTTCAACAAGTCCATTACTTTTAGGATGGTACGGAGTTGTTTTTATGTGGTTGATAGAATTTTTCTGGAAGAATGTTTCAATTTCCTTTGACACAAATTGAGGTCCGTTGTCTGTCACGATTTCACTTGGTAATCCATATCGACTAAACCAAGATCTTAATCGTTGAATGATTGTATAAGAGTTTGTTGTCTTAAGACAGTCCACTTCTGAACACTTAGACAACGCATCAATACCTACCAACCACATAGATCCGTTGACTGGCCCTGCCAGATCAATGTGTACCCTTTCCCAAACTCTAGCAGGTACATTCCAAGGATATAATGGTACTTCTTCTACATTATCTCTATTCTCTTGACAAGATGTACACTTCTTGATATAAACTTCGATATCTTTATCCATGTTGGGCCACCACACATAGTGTCGCGCAACAGACCTCATTGATGCAATACCAGGATGTCCTGCATGCAATATCTTCAGAACATCAGTTCTCATGCATTCTGGAACTACGATTCTTCCAAACCACAATAATATATCATCTTCAACATTCAATTCATCTTTTCTCTGTTTGTACGACTTTAACATTTCAGGAACAACAGAGGGCCATGTATTCCTCAATCTAAAGTTTTTTGCCATTCTAATAGCTTTATCTGTCAATGAATTTTGTTTTAAAAGGTCATAAGACATGATAGTGTTAACCTTATCAGCATTCAAAAAAACCAATGTGAGCCTCCTCAGGTTGATCTTCTTCAATCGGAAGTCTTGATAGAACGTCAGCACACACGTTATCTTCTCCTTTTCTGTACTCTATGTCATAGTTGTATTGATTCAACTGGATTGCCCACCTCACTAAACGGCTATTTACTACTTTTGGGAGATCTCGCATTTTCCCAAATATCCGTTGTAGAGGTTTGTGGTCGGTTACCAAAGTGAACTTCCGACCATATACATATTGATGGAATTTCCTGAGTCCAAAGATAATAGCTAGTGCTTCTCTGTCGATATTTGAATATTGTTTTTCAGCAGGCAGTAGTGTGCGACTTGCAAAAGCAATTGGTCTTTCTAGTCCATTTTCGAATCTGTGCATTAGTACACTTCCCCATCCATTTTCTGATGCATCACAGACCATTACCAATGGTCTCATTTCTTCATATGGTACTACTGTGTCTTTACTTGATAGAATTTCCTTTACTCTTTTAAACGTCACCTCTTCTTGTTCAGACCATTTCCATTTAGAGTTAGTTCCAGTCAGCTTATGGAGATCACTACAAATGGCATGAAGTCCCGGAATAAATCGTTCATAGTAGTTAATAGAACCTAAAAATGATCGGAGTTCCTTGACATTAGTAGGTGACCGTGCCTCTCGTATGGCTTTTATTTTTTCTTCAGTAGGATGTATTCCATTTCGCTCGATTGTATGTCCCAAGTAAGTTACTGACTCTTCAAAAAATTTGCATTTGCTAGAGTTTGCTTTTATACCAGCTTCTTTCATTCGTTTCAAAACCTCTCTTAAATTTCTTAGATGTTCGTTCTTATTATTTCCAGTTATTATAATATCATCCAGAAGAACTCCAACCTGTGGTATTCCAGCTAAGAGTCTTTCCATATATCTCTTGAAAATACCTGGGCTGGATGATATCCCAAAAGGTAAACGTTTGTATCTATAATAACCACTATGCGTTGCTATTACTATATACTTTCGGTGTTCTTCTGCAACCTCCATTTGTAGGTAAGCATCTCGTAGGTCTATCTTGGAAAACTCTTGTCCACCTGCAACTTTATTTGTTAGTTCCTCAAATGTTGGAATAATAGCATTTTCTGGTACCAAATTTGGATTCAACGTGACTCGAAAATCTCCACAAATTCTTATTGAACCATCGTCCTTCTCTACGTTGACTGTTGGAGTGGCCCACGGAATAGCTGTAGTAGCAGGATCTACCTCTTCAATGATATCCTCATTGACAAGTCTTGCAAGTTCACTCTCAATTCGTTTTTTCAAGGGAAATTGAACCCTGCGTGCAGAAAAATGTTGGGGGTTTGCATCTTCTTGAACGTGAATTCGTGCTTTATAACCCTTGATTTTCCCATGTCCTTCAGAGAATACATCTTCAAAGTCTTTTAGTACTTCCTTAACCCTCACATCATCCATCTTTCGTTGTTTTAGATTTTGCTTACATCTCACTTTACTAATAGTTACATCAGGAGGGAGTTCCATATTAAAAGCTAATATCCATAGTAAACCAAATAATGGTTTCTCATTTCCATTTACTACTGCTACTTTTAATCTACGTGTCTCATTACCTACTGAAACATTGACAAAACATTCACCAAGTATATCTAAAATATTGTTTCCATATGCCACGTATTTTAAATTAGTCTTGTCAAGTCGTGGTGAACCAATCTTCTCCCAAAGAGGCTTACCTATCATTGAGGCCCAAGCTCCTGAATCAAATTCCATGTTTGTAGCTACCTTATTTAACTTTAAATAAATACGTGCTTTACAAATATGTCTTCTTTCCTTATTAACATCGTTTATCCTCATGTCATGAGAGTCTGCTTCAGATTCTTCATCTCCTGATTTTTCATGCAAATTATTCACTCGTTTTTGCCGACATACCTTTGCAAAATGTCCCATTTTTTTACAATTCAAACACTGTTTTTGGTAGGCTGGGCATTTGCCAAATTCATGTTTCGTTCCACATCTACTACATGGATGATTTGTCTTTTCGTTATATTCCACTTCTCTCTTAGACCCCTTATTGTTTCTTCTTACTTGGGATACTTCCAACTCTTTATCGTTATTCTTGAATATCTCATGACGAGCTCTTTCCATTGAAATGGCCAGTTCAAAAATATCTTCAGATGTTACTTGTCACCATTTTCTTTTACACCATCAGGCCATCGTTGTCTAATTTCTACTTCAAACTCTGGAAAATTTATACCTCCTGCAAATCTGTCTCTTATTCTTTCATCAAACTTATTCTCATACTTGCAAAATTCTGCTAAATTTTTCAAACGTATTACAAATTCTGAAAGGCTTTCACTATCTTCTCTGATGCATTTTTCAAACTCCATTCTAGCTGAAAATATAGTCTTTCTTTGTATACTGACCTGAAACCATTAACTAGTTCTGCCCACGTAGCCTGATGTACTTTCAAAGGCAGTAGAAAGTTTGAAATCTTTCTTAATGGTGCAGGACCCACATATGCAAGCAAAAGATCCCTTCGAGCATCCTCTGGTCTCTGAGAGTCTTCTCCCAATCCTTTTACCTTGCATAATAATAGAAAATGTGCTTCATAATCGTCCCACCTACTAGACTCATCATAGCTTTGACATTTGAACTTCTCTATCTTTGATTGTAATGTGTCTTCTTTAGTTTCATACTTCTCTTCTTCATTGAAATGACTATTTCTTCTTTTGGTTCGTTTACTCATCGTCGCCAATATAGAATTACACTAAATGATATTCAAAATACAAAAGAACCATTTTATTTAATTCTTAAACACATCAATGTAAACAGAATATTTACTAACAAACTTAATAATAATAAATCAGCTGATGAATTAATCACTTACAGATTTAACTATCTAACACTTATATCTCGAAAACTATTTGAGATATGACAAAATGGTTAAAAATCCAGCAATAAATATATTTTAACTTTAATAGATACATTTTCTAAAAAAGCTTATGCTGCTCCACTAAAGAATAAAACAGGGTTGGTGGTTACAGAATCCATTAAAACCATTCTACCAAAGGATGTTAAAAACGTTCAATCGGACAATGGAAATGAATTTTTTAATCAATATTTTAGCAAACTAAATATTAATCACTATCACACTTTTTCTACAACTAAGGCTGCAATTGTGGAGAGATTTCAGAGAACTTTAAAGAATTGGTTATATAGGGAATTTAGTGCTCGGGGAAGTTATAAATGGTTGGATTTACTTCCAAAGTTAATTCGAAAATATAATAATAAAGTGCATAGATCTATAGGTATGAAGCCTAACCAAGTAAATATTAAGAACAGTAAATATGTGCATGAGAGGTTGCATGAAAGGACTTCTAAAGTAGTGCAAGTTAAAAAACCAAGATATAAGGTAGGCGATAGTGTGAGAATTTCCAAGTATAAACATGTTTTTAGTAAAGGCTATACTCCGAATTGGACAGGGGAACTATTTACAATAGCAGAAGTTAAGAATACAAAGCCTGTAACTTATATCTTGAAAGATGAAAATGGTAGGCCTAATATAATCAGAGGAGGATTCTATACAGAGGAGTTGTTAAAGACCAAGTATAAAGACATGTATTTAGTAGAAAAGGTAATTAGGAGAAAGGGTAATTTATTGTATGTCAAATGGCTTGGGTTCCCAAGTAGCCAGAATTCATGGATTTCCGCAAAGGATGTCCAAGGGAGCGCGCCCGCACCATGAGCCGAGTTCGTGTGCAAACCACGCACATACATGATTTTGAAATAGAAATATAATATATCAACTAGAAAGGGTAATGGAAGATGTACTAGCAATTAGACATGGTGCAGAGGGGAAGGGTGAAGAGGGTGGGGGTGGGAGTTGGCACAAAAATGTCGATTCGCAAAAAACGGCGGCGACAAACTATACTACTTAAAATCATTTTTTATTTCATTTTTATTTTACACTGGCGCTATCTGGGACCGGCTCATAGAACTATTTTTTTAAATGAACAGCTGGTAGTAGGATGGGATGTCCAAAGTCCATTTAGTCCAGAAGTATCCAGAAGTCAATGTCATTACTGTACATACAGTGATCGTGGGAGGCGAAATAGATAGTAAATTTTAATAAAATTATAACTTAGAGGATATTAAATATTACATGTTTCAATTAAATATATGCATATAACGATTTTAACAAATGGTGGTCTGATATCTGTGGGACATCAAAACGGGGACGTTAATCGGGTCTATGTCTCACAACGCCCCCTAACCTAGTTTATATTGCTCTATTTTGATCTATATAGGCAATTTTATAAATAAAGAATAAATCCTTATAAGAAAATACTACAACGTATAATATCTAACCAACCAGCATAATTACTTCTTTACAATTTGTAGCACTTCATATTTTTTCAGGTTTTATAACTCAAATAACATTTAATTAGTGAGTATCAAATCATCTTGAATTAAATCACGTCAGTATTCTTAAGAAACAATTTGCTTTCTAGGACTTTTACATGATTTTGATGTGACTTTATTTTTAAATTATTCTTATGTAACAATTGGCTACAAGACTGTATTGCCTCCTCTTATAGCGATTTTCAAGATTCGTTTAATAAGGTTAGAAGGAATTCTCAGTAGGAATGCGTCACGTTTGACGTATGATAATGTCGGATATGTTTGTTTGAATTATTTGTTCTAAATATACAATTATTTGTTCTAAATTATATTGTTCTATCTATATGGATATCTGTTTAAAATTAATATCCAACAGGAGCTATATACGATAACTTATTACCTAAACGTATAAATTTTTCACTTTTTATCAGGGAATCCATGTTAAATAAGTTTTTTTTTTACTTACAAACATTTATAGGTTTATGTGAACCAAAAC